CCAAGCCGCACCTCCATCTCCTACCGACCAACCTCATCCCGCCCCCTTGGCCTGTCCGTCCTCCCTGGACTGACCTATCCCCTTCCTAACTCCCTACCTACACTCACCTTTCCTGGCCCCATCCCCGCCTCTTCGACCTGTTTGTTTCCTCTCCACCTATCCTCTCCTCTATCCCTCTTCTATCCGCCTCCCACTCTCTCCCTATTTATTTCAAAACCCCCTTCCCCTCCCCCTTTTCTGATGAAGGGTCTAGGCCCGAAACGTCAGCCTCTCTGCTCCTATGATGCTGCTTGGCCTGCTGTGTTCATCCAGCCCTGCACCTTGTTGTCTCGGATTCTCCAGCATCTGCAGTTCCTACTATCTCTGTAATAAATTTAGTATTGCCCTGTTTGCATCACATACTTTCCGGCTTTCCAAATCAGATTTCACACATGCATCTGTTCTTCCAGGTTCCCATCTATGAGATGAGAAATGACGGTCATGATAATTTGCTTGGAGCACTGCTGATTGCTGGCCTGTATGTAATACCAGAGGTAAGCTCGTTCTCTTCAGTAAGTTCAGATAGCTGATCTTGATATGGTAATTCAGTCAATATACTACCTTTTATTTGTTACCTTTTTATTCAATTATTTAGGTTGGTCTCTATTTTCAACACATATTATACAGAGGAAATCGTGTCACAAAAATAGATGCTGGAAGTTTTACTGCATTTTCTTCACCCAACCTCCGTCCACTTGTCAAAGCTGAAGTGGAAATTAAAGGTAAATCACAGTTAGAATTTGAATGCCTAGAATTTGATTATTTCCTAATTACAAGCAGTGTTTTTTTCTCCACATATTGAGGAGAAATAATTAGTAAAAGGAAAAAAAGTAAATAGTGTGTTTAGAGGTGATTTGATAACTTTAAATCAATTCTTTTTAGGTGTTTGAAACAAGAATATCAAGTGGGACGAAAATTTATGCTTTTGGTTAGGGTCAAGTGGTGGTCCCACGCCATACTGTTGGATGTAGTCACTGGGCAGTGATTTTTCAATTGATAACGTTAAGAGGGTGTGCACGTTGCCCATTTAAAGGTGGGTGGATTGCCTGTCAAGGATGGTCAATAAGAGGGCCTCCTGCCTGGGAGAAATAACAATATTGTAAGTAAGGGAGAGCGTGAGCATCCTTACAGTAATGTTAGCAAGTTTGAAATGTGAAAAAATAGCCACAGTCATTGGGTGACCACTTTGGCCAAATAGGTGCTGAGTATCTCAAAGGCATCCTGGACTGTTACATGCACACATGTTATCATAATTCAAGAAGATTTTCTGTAACTGAAATATTGGAATGACATATTGCGGTTTTACTCAATTGAGGCACAACTTCCTTTTAGTTCTGTTTTTCTTGAATTACAACAGGTACAGTTAGAAGGCAGGAACAAAGGAGGGAGTGGGCTAAGGAGGAATAGTGAGAACGATAAAGTGATGACTAAGAGATCAGGGGAAGAATGATGTTAAATGTGTTAGGAATGAAAAATAATGAGCCCCCCTGTATGAGTGGAATATGAGGTAATGGGTGGTCTACAAATTTGGAGGAAATTGCAAATACTGCAGTTACATTTTTAAATAAATTCAAAAGTATAAAAACTTCCAAATGGACAATTTGCTTTCCAAATGATGCTGTTGTGAACAGCAGCACCATCTAGTTACAACTGTGTAGTGTTTATACCATATTAAAATGTCCAAAGTGCTTCACTGGCCTGCTATGTACTTCATTTGACACACATAAGAGATGTAAGGATAGATGAGACTTGCTGCTATGCTAGAGCAAGTGAAATCAACAATTCACTAGAGTTCAGAATTGGAGGGCCTTATATAGTTGGGGAGGGGCTCTAATCTGGAGGAATTCAATAATAAGAATGAAAATTTTAAAATCAAAGTATTTCTGTATTGGAAGACAGTGTAGGTCATCAAAAACAGGACTGAAAGGTAATTGGGACTAGGTGTGAATAAACACGTGCAGCAGTTTTGGATGCACTCAAATTTACAGAACATGGGAGGCCAGAATATATTAATTATTAATACATCAGTTATTTGCTGGAATATATTAAATCCCTGCTTAATGTTGACTCCATGGGAACAGACGCAGGCCACTCGGCCTGTTGAGCCTCTTCTGCCATTCAGTAAATTTTACAGCATCGCTGAGAATTGAACTCAGGATCTCCTGTTTGCTAAGCAGATTTAACCACCATGCCATGCATATTCTTACTTTAGGCGCCAGGTCTGTTCTGTAGTTTTCTCTGCTGGCTTCACTACTGCCTTGCTCTTGAACTCCATCCAGTGCTGGAAATTAGTCAGTACAAGTAGTTCTGGGAGTCTGGCTGCTCCCTAACCCAATTAGCTTCTATCACTAGATGAAGCTGGTCAATAAAACAGTACTGTATAGTAAAGTTGAGCATAACTTTTATACAAAAAAATGATTTCTTTTTTACTTTGTAATGCATTTTATTTTGCAAGTTAATTCATCTGGGTATGCAGTGTTCCACATGTACGGTTCAGTATTTCAACTTTTACATTAGACATTGCTTTCCCAGAAAATACAAAGGAATCTGATTGTTGCTTTAAAATTGATTCCTATGGGAGCCTATGATTTACTTAAAGTTGCAATTTTCAGGAATGCAGCCACAACTTTAAGTGAGGATGTACTGTCCCTGGGCCTGGAACCAACAGAGGCATCATTGAGGGTTTCAGCAAAAGATGTGTTTAGAGGAAACAGAGAGAGAAAATATTAAGGAGATGACAATAGGCAGTTTTTGTAACAGTGGCCATATGGTTTGATATTCCATTGGGGTCATCTGTTTTTATACTTCCATGGGATATCAGGGTTGTTGGCAAATCCAGCATTTGGTACTTAACCCTAATTGTGGCTGCGAAGGTGGTGTTGAATTGTGTTCTTGAACGGCTGCAGACCATATAGTGTAGCTGGACCCCAGTGCTGAAACAAGGCTTCCAGGTTTTGACCCAGCAACTGTGAAGAACTGGTGATAGAGTTGTAAGTAGCAGTTGGTGGAGGCAGTTTTCACGTAGTGGCATTCCCGTGCATCTCTTAGCCTTGCCCTTCTTGATATTAAACTTAACAGGACTCGGAGGCTCTGTTGAAGGAGGCTTTGTGAGTTGCTACATCTTGTATTGTGCACCGCTGGTGGAAGGAGTGAACGTTTAAGGTAATAGATGTACCAATCAGGTGGGCTGCTTTATCCTGGATGTTGTTAAATTTCCTGATTAATGTTGGAGCAGCGTTCACTCACCTTAGAAACTCTAGGCCTCTGACTTGCTGTTAAAGCCACAGTATTTAAATAATTGAGTTAAATTTCTGGTCACTGGTAAACCTCAGGATGTTGAAAGTGAGGGAATTCTGGGATATTCTTGAATGCTCTTGAATGTCAAAGAAAGATGGCTAGATTCTTTACCTTTGAAGATGATCATTGCCTGACAATTCTATGATGCATTTTCTACTTAGCAGCCCAAGCCTGAATTTTGTCCAGGTCTTGCTGCCTGTGAGCATAGACTGCTTTATTACCTGTGGGCTTGAATGATGCTATTTCTGACATTACAGTAAAGAAAATGCTGAGGGGATACCCAAGGTTATTCATTGACCAATAAAGAAATACAGTCATAGGGATTGCAGTCACACTCTGCTTTTGACCAACAAGCGCACAAGTATTGAAATCCTATGATATTATTTCAACTTATTTATCAAATATAAATTAGCTACATCAGGTTCCCAATTAGCCTCTAGTTACACATGACTACTGTAATAAACAACACGAGTTGCACTATATATAACTTTGCAGTAGAAATCTGTAAACTTTAATATGAGATTTTACTAATGCCAAACTTGGTATGTCTGTTTTGCTTCCCCGGCTACGCCTGTCTCAGACAGCATTTCTACTGTTTGCACTTCTCCATTGATCCTCTCTCATTCTTCCAGTTACCTAAACTTTATACCATTTTTATTTTATATCTTGCAATATACGTTTGGGGGCATTTATCTGGCTGTGGAAAATGGGCATACATTTATACGGTACATGCGATATTTTTCATTTCATTTAGCATTTTATCTGTAAGGTATAAGGTGTACATTGAATATAATAAAAACTCATGGCATGTTGTTTTCTTGTAATAAGAAATAGGTGCATTTAGAGATAACATTTTTGTTGGGGTTTGCTTGTTAGCATTGGCTGAATGGGAAATGTGTTGATTGTATTGATCATACTCAAGGGTATTCTAATACGGTTGTTATTATTAATGTGGATGGTATAATGGGCTTTGTGAAAATTACTTGTAGCCTTTTAAATGCCCACCAGAGTCCAATACAATGCTGATTGATTTATACATTTTGCGGTGAGAAAGCATTCCGTCTGAATGCAGCATTAAAAATAATTGTTCAACAGCCCAAACAATTATCTTAAAATTTTTACACTTTGGAAGTTGGCATTGTAGTATGCATTTGGTAGAAGAGAGGTGGAGGTGGGGGAGAACATGTGGAAGCTGTAATCTTGACCAGGATAACCTGCGCAGTTCAACCTCCACAGCAAAAATATGAACAGGAAACATTGAGGCCACACTGGTAATTTAAAAACAACACAGATAATTATGCTCCATAGAAAGAAGAGATATTGTGCTATTCTTCATAGGTCCTACCACAGAACGAATAGGGTGGGAATAGGAATTTTTGGATATTTTAAATAGAAACAAAATGAATTAAAAATAGACATGAGTGACTTGACATCTGAATAAAATTGACATTTTATGTATGATCCTTCATCAGAATCCAATATCCTGATGGGAGGAAATTTTTTCTGTTAGAATCGTGGTTTCTGATGAGCATTACCTTCTTTTGTCCAAAATTCATCATCTCTGAACTTATTTTTTAAAAGTCTGTTCATTGAATCTGCTAACATTGTACATTTTGATTTGTATGACTGTTAGTGTACCTAGCTTTCATATTTGATCAATAATAATTGAAGCAAACAGTAAATCTGTAGGAATTTGGAAAGAGAAAACATATCACCTAATCTCAGCAAAGTTAGAGAAACCAGCGAATTAACACACTGTGAAGAAACAATGAGCTGCAAACATGTCAGTGGCATTTACACATGTGCAGAGTTTTGTTTTGTTGTTTCATGTATAGTTTTCAAACCTAACATCAACTTTCTGAAGAGTGGGGTTAGGAGGCAATAGAAACGTTTGGAGTCACAACCCTTCACTCCTGCTGAAAGAAAAACATTTCTGGATTCCCACTGTCCAAACAAATCTGCAACAGCGCTCCTTCAGTACAAAGTATTGGATTTTAGTGACATTGAACAGTTTCAGCAAAGTTACTCAAATCTGTAATTAATAACAGAGACAATAGGAGTTTCTGAATAGATTGAAGCTAATGCAGGCGACCCTGTTGTGCATAGTGACAGGCAAGGGTCCTTTGCTCAACGAAATAGCCAAAACATTTACAGCAAAATTGACCTAAACTCACGAGAGATGTCAGATTCTGAGCCTGTACTCACGTGAAGAGAGAGCTTCTTAAAAGTAGTCTCATGGATTATGTCAGGCAGAAAAGCTTGATAACTGTATACAGGTAATAAATAGGCAAATGAGGCACTACAAGAACTTGCAGAAGTAAGCTGATTAGAATCTGGTTAGATGGAAAAGAAGAATTATGTTCTTTGCCATTACGAAGGTGAAAAATGTAGAAATAGAGCAGGAATCTTATAAGCATAAAATACAATACCCTTTGATCGCACTGTCTGAGATTGGCCAAATTAGAGTTACTACCAAATCTCGGATATTGTGCTCATGATTAAAATCAAAGGAAAGTCTTTTGATCTGATTATTGTACAGATTTATGCCCGACACAAGATCACAGTGAGCAGGAAATTGAGGCGTTTATTGTGATATCCTGAAGAGTTATAATCAAATTAAATCAGTTGCTGTGGTCAATGTAATGGATGACTTAAGCACTAAAATCGGTGAAGGAACCTTTGGAACACTTGTCAGTCAATATGGAAAATGATCTGATGGTGGCAAGAACTTTCACTGAAAACAGTGAAGTTGGAGAAAATGTATTTCAAAATCAAATAGATTATACACGATGGAGAGACAGCATTTTATGAACAGTATAAAGAACACTCATATGTATCCCACATGGCTAAAGAGAAATGGTGTAATGAGATGTATGATAAAGTGTTGGAGCTGAAAAATAATTGCAAAATCAGAGTTATTCACAAGAAGGTGATAGAGTAGATATCCCTCAGCAACTCGAATAAGTTGGGGCTTATCTATTCCAAAGTAAATAAATTTTCGTAGGTGTGATAAATATTAATTACTGCATCAGTCCTAAAAATTAACATTTATAAGTGCAAAGTTTAATTACTCCAGATTTTCTGCTTTGTTTAAGATTTAAAAGGATATACTGTTTTTAAAAAGGTATTAATTGTGTCTTTCTCTTCAAAATGACAATTCCTGTCAGACACTGCATGCCTTGCTAGGTGTTGTGTAGTCTTATTGGTTTTGGAATTGCACATTTGCTTGCGATCACATGGCTCCTTGATCCACACTGGAACTTCTGTGCTGAAATATGTTTCAGTTCACTGCAAATTCTACTGTAAATGGCCATAGAAAATCCATTAACAGTCATAAATGTATTGACCAGCTGGAGCCATTCATTCACACTGACTCCAATGTCTAGGACACATTATGTTTAGAAAGTTGGGTTCCAGTTAAGTGTTCATTTTTTTATTTGATAGTGTTGTTCCAAGGATATTGTCATTGAGTGTGGAATGATTTTGTTACAAAGATGTGTTACTTCATCCCATAGCATGACAATAACACTGTTTATAGCCCAGACCAAATATCGGTGTCATTCACAGCTGTACGTCTCCAATTACTCAGTTTTCGAAACAGCAAATACTTCATCGGATTAGGACAGATACAAATCATTGAGCTTTTTTGACAATGGAGTTTGATTGTGTCAAACAGATGCTATGATTGGACTGACTGAATCCAAACTATATAATTTACATTTAAATAACACAAAGTTTCTTCTCCCTTTCCTAGACAGTTCCTCAACTTTGAGGATGTTTTAACAATAATAATATTTAGGCCATACAAAGTAAAGAACATGCCATCATAGCAATCGATTATCTTATACTGGCTTCTAAATAAACTTTGACATTGCTAACCTCATCACTTGCATTAAAAGTATGCGTCACACCCCTTGTCATTGCATCACAGAAGGTTGTGAATTGAAGCCTCACTTCAATACTTGAGCGCAAAAACAGATAATCTGGTAATTGTTATTTATTTTTGTACACTAAAACAGGACAGATCCAATCCAGCCAATTACTGTCCCATCAGTCTGCTTTCAATCATCAGAAAAATAATTGAAGGGATCATAACAGTACCATTGCCTGCTCACTAACAGTCAGTTTGGGTTCTGCTGTGGCACTCAGTTCTTGATGTCAGTACAGCCTTGGTTCAAACATGGACAAAAAAGCTGAATTCCGGAGGTGAGGTGAGAGTGACAGCCCTTGACATCAAGGTCACATTTGACCAAGCGTGGCATCAAGGAGCCCTGGCAAAACTAGAGACAGTGGGAAAGCATGCCATTGGTTGGAGTCCTACTTAGCACAAAGAAAGATGGTTATGGTTGTTGAAGGTCAGTCATCTCAGCCCCAGGATATATCTGCAAGTGTTTGTCATGTCAGTGCCCTAGGCCCAATCATCTGCAGCTGCTTCATCAATGACTTTCCCTCCATCATAAGGTCAGAAATGGAGATGTTCACCAATGATAACACAAAGTTCAGCACCATTTTCAACTCCTCCAATACTGAAACAGTCCGTGTCCAAATGCAGCAAGACTTGGACACTATTCAGGCTTGGGCTGACAAGTAGCAAGTAAAGCTACACAAGCGATAGGCATACACCATTTAAAACAAGTGTGAATCTAACCATTGCCCTTTGTAATTCAGTGGTGTTGCCATCACTGAATTCCCCAACTTCAACATCCTGGGAGTTACCGTTGATAAGAAGCTGGACTGGATTTGCCATTTAAACACAGTGGCTGCAAGAGCTTGTCAGACACTAGGAACCCTGCAGTGAGTAACTTACCTAGAAGGACAAGGGCAGCAGATACATGGGAACCCCACTGTCTACAAGTGCCCCTCCAAGCCACTCACTAATCCAACTTGGATATATATTGCCATTTTTTCACTGTTGCTGGGTCAAAATCCTGGAACTCCCTCACTAACAGCACTAGGTATACATACGCCAGATGGCCTGCAGCAATTCAAGAAGTCAACTCGCCACTGCCTTCTCGAGGGCGACTAGCGATGGCAGTGAATCCTGGCCCAGCTTGGGATGCCCACATCCCCTGAATTCATTTATAAACGTTTCTGTTTATGGGAGTTCACTGTGTGCAAGTAAACACAGTATTTGCTCTAATCTAATACTGGCTCCACTTCAATTGCTGTACTGCATTTTGTGATATCCCTAAGACTATAAGCTGTCAGAGCATCCAGGCTACTCCACCTTTCAATCATGGCTGATATGTTTCTCAGCTTCATTCTCCTGCCTTCTGTCCGTAACCTTTGATCCCCTTGATCCTGTTTTCATGTAAGGTGCTTTGTGAATGCATTTTTTCTTTCTTTTGTTTTTTGAACTGCAGGTGCAGTGAACTTATGTTTGTTTTCTTTATAGTCAACTGGGACACTGTCTGGAGACCAAATACAACTAAGAAGTTTATGGTGCACACAAATATGAATCGAAATGTGGGATTGTTAAGATTATTCCCAGGAATCACTGTTGCTACGGTAAATAATTGACAAAAGTTTTTGCAGTGATAAAAATGAAGTTAAATCTGTGGACCAGATCATTCTCTTTGGAGTGGGCCATTTCCTGATGTCGTAACTTCGCCTCCTAAGTTGCCATGCCCACCCACCATTTTTTATCCCTGCTGATTAGACGCAAACAGATGTCAGGGTTAGCATCTTCCAAAGCAGACACAAAGAAGAAGCAGAGATGTATGAAGGTAGCCATTAAAAGGTTTGGTTCCATTTCATGGAAAATCGGGCCAGTTAATTAGATGTGTCATCGCCCATCCTTCTCATAACCATAAATCACTTCACCCCGTAGGCTTCTGTACTCTATGATTGCCCTCCATTCTACCATATAACCCCTCAAACCCCCTCCCCATGCTCATTGTCCCAATGCCCACAATGTGCAGAGCTTTTGAACTTTGAAATATCTTAAAGATGCTCACAAAACTGTCAATTTAATGAAGCCTTTCAAACTACTTATATAAATCAGCTCATGATTCCTTCACTGCTGTATAAACTAGCTCCACTGAAACTATCAGTGGGGTTTGGAGCTTATCTAAGCTTTCATAATGAGTTTCTGTTACACAGCTGTATAAACAAAACAATTCATTAAATCCTTTGAAGTCATTAAAAGTGTTCAGCCAACTGTTTGAGCTTTGAAACAGGGAAACAGATGTCTGAGCTGTCATTCGATATAAAGATTAATTCACAGATGGGAACTGACATAGTCAACTCTGAATACTAATGTTATTAATGCAAAAATGCAATGTAGTCACATCCATCTGGAGACTTTTCCGCTTTCATGATGCTGGAAAACTTACTGGTCACTTGCCTTTTTTTAAACCCTAACACTAATCACTTTGTTAAAAAGGTCCTTAACTATACAACATTTCTTAGAGCATCATGTTTGTGGAGGTGACCAGAGAGCAGGCTTTATTATAATTCGTAAGAATAATTAGTGATCTTACAGTGAAGGTGCCCCAAGATAGCAGTAATTATAAAATGATTAAATTTGACATCCAGTTTGAGGGAGAGAGGCGTAGATCTGAGACTACTTTTCTAAATTTAAATATAAGGATATATAAAGCTATGAAAGCAAAGCTGATTAAACAGTAGGTAATTCAGGATTTAAGGACATTTCAGAGAAAACAATGAATATGTTCCAAAGCATAAGAAAAATTCCAACAGATAGACACTCCATCTGTTGTCAACTAGAACAGTTAAAGATGGTACCACACTAGAATAAAAAGTACATATTTGTGCAAAGACACATAGCAAATCAAAAGATTGAACAGAATATAAAATACAGCAAAGCATGATTAAAAAATTGATAAGGGAAAATGTTAAAGTATGAGAGAAAGCTAGCCAGAAATGTTAAAACAGACAGTAAACGTTTCTAAGAAGAGTAAGCAAACTGACCGTAGGTCCTATAGACGTGGAAAATTAATAATGGAAGCTGAGGAGATGGCAAATGAACTGAGCAAATATGTGGCATCTAACTTGACAATAGAAGATACAAATGGAACTCAGGAAATGGAAGAGAGTGAGGAATTCAGGAAAATTACTATCACCAGAGAAGTGATACTGAGTAAACTGTTGGAGCTTTGGGTTCTCAAGTGCCCAGATCCTGACAGACTTCAATCTAGTATCTTAAAAGAAGTGGCGATAGTCAATGCATTGGTTTCAATTTTCAAGATCTCCCTTGTTTCACGGAGAGTGCCATTACATTGGAAGGTAGTAAATGTAATTCCTTTATTCAAAAAAGGAGAAGACAGAAACCTGGAAACTAGAGGCCATTGAGCTTGACATCTGTCATGGGGAAAATATTGGAAGCTTTTATTAAAGAAAGTATAACAGGGCATATAAGTTCAAACTATCAGGCAGAGGCCACATAAATTTGTAAAGGTAAATCATGTTTAACCAATCTATTGGGGTTCATGGAAGAAGAAATGAGTGCTATCAGCAAAAGGGGTGCTCTTTACATAGAATTCCAGAAAACATTTAATAAAGCACCACGTCAAAGGTTATTGTAGAAAGTAAAAACTCATGTTGCAGGTGTAGTGTATTTGCTTGCATAGATGTTTGCCTGACTAATAGGATGCAGAGAGTAGACAGAAATGGGTCTTTTTCAAGTTGGCAAGATGTGGTGAGTGTTGTACAACATGGATCAGTGCTGTGTCCTTCACTGTTATAATTTATATACGTGGTTTGGATGAATGGACAGAAAGTATGGTTGCCAAATTTGCTGATGACACAGGTAGATAGGAAATTAAGGTGTATGGGAGGCTGTATAGATTGAGTGGGCAAAGATCTGGAAACAGTTTAATGTGGGAAGATGTGACATAGTATTCATCCTGTCAAAATAGACTAAGGAAGCATATTCTCTAAATACCGAGAGACTGGAGTCTGACATAGAGGGATTTGGGTTAATCGCAAAATACTGGTATGCAGCTACAGCAAGTAATTAGGAAAGCTAATTGAATATTATCAGTTATTGGGAGGAGAATTAAATTTATTGTGAAGAGACTAACACTTGGAGCGAACAAGTTGCCTTATGATGCAGGGGTGGACAGATTAGGCCTGTATTTACAGGTGTTTAGAGGTGTAAGAGGTGACTTGATTGAACCGTAAGATCCTGATGGGTCTTGACAGTTTGTGGTGTAGAGGATGTTTCCTTTTTTGGGAGAATCAAGAACCAAGAGTTGCTGTTTAAAGTTAAGGAGTCATCCATTTAAAGCTTTTAAGGCGAAATCAAGTCTCACCCAGTATTTGAAATGGGTGAGCCTGCTCCATGGAGAGGTGAGGAGAATCTAGCCACTGAAAAAGCTGAGAAGAGCTCCATTAGCAAATAATGGCCAGTATTGTTCTCTACAGGAATAAATAATTAGGCGCTGTCTAACCTTTGACTCCTTAAGGGCCTGTAGCACCTTACAATGTGATGTGATGGCCAATGGCTACACATCCACCCATTCCAGTTACATAAATAATTCCACCCGTAGGGTGTGGAATAAGGCCAGTTCAGGTGACCTGCAATTCTTCTGCCCTACACTTTGAAAAACGAAGGAAAGACCCCAAATGTTCAAGTCTTCAAATCCATGATTGTCTTTCAACTTCCAATTACAAGAAGAAATTGATCATATTAGATGGCTATGTTTTTCTCAAATGGAAACAGTTATTGACTGATGTAAGGTATGTTAGGTTTCACAAAATGCAGCCCTGCTTAGGATAATTGAAGTTGCTATGGCATTATCATTTTTACTGCTTTTAGCACCTATTCCACAGCTTGATCAATGTTTCATACATGAGAGGATATTCTTTTGAGTTGTTTGAAGATCATATTGAGCATGAAGTTGTGGGAGTCAACCTTCTAAAGTATGAGTATATATGTGGATTAAGGGTGCCATACGCTGTTGGATGATTGTTTTTTTGTTAATGAGCATTGCTGACATGATGAGCATTTCTTGCCCATCCCTCATTGCCCCTGAGCAAGTGTTGGTGAATGAAGGGATGGCAAAATAGTTCTAGTTTAGGCTGGTTTGTGTCTTGGACAGGAACTTGCAGGTGTTGGTATTCCCAGTGTTTTTGTTCCCAGTGCCTAGTGTTTTTGTTCTTCCGGGCGGTGGAGGCCGTGGATTTAGAAAAGGTGTATTTGGTGAATGGCAGCAGTTGCTACTGTTTTCTGTAGTGGGGCAGTGAATGTCAAGATTGCAGATGGAGTGCCAATCAGGCAGGCTGCTTTGCTTGGATATTGCGAGCTTCTTAAATGTTGTTGGAGCTGCACTCACTTATGCAACTGAATAGTATTCCACCACACTCCTGACGTGACCTGCTTGGAGTATGGAGGAGAAAAAGTTCCTAGCTTCTATCTTTTTGCTATATGAACTTTATGCCACCTTTTTAATTGTGTTGATGAGATATAATTTTGATTTCAAGTGATTAATCTGGCATTAAATTTAAAACAAACTTTGGATTTTAAAATTGTTTTGATGCAATAAAGTTCATTACTGCTCTCAGACTTAAGAAATTAATTTGTGATTTGTACAGTTTTCATTTATGGGTACATCCTCTTTACAGGTAAAAACATTTCTCCAACCACCAATGGAAGGAATTGTTTTGGAGACGTACGGAACGGGTAATGCTCCAGATAATCGCCCAGATATATTAGAGGAATTTAAAAAAGCCGTTGATCGTGACGTATTGATAATAAACTGTACTCAGTGTTTGAAGGGCTGCGTTAGTCAATCGTATGCAACAGGAAAGGTAAGTCAGCAATCTACCTGAGAGATTATAGCTCTTCTTTCCCTTTGTGCTTGGTATTACTGCTTTGACTCAGGAGGGTTCATCTGTTCACTTTAATTTTAATGGTAAAGCATTTGTCGCTGTGGAGCATGTGAGTAGATAATCTTGCCCATTGATCACTATTTGTTCCTCCAATAATTGATTAAATTAGAAGTCAGTCAGTTCTGAGGAAGGGTCACCAGACCTGAGACGCTGATTTTTCTTCACAGATGCTGCCAGACCTGCTGGGCTTTTCCAGCAATTTCTGTTTTTGTTCCTGATTTACAGCATCCACAGTTCTTTCTATTTTTGTTTTGATTGAATTAGAAAATTATTTTGAGTTTGTTAAAGGCTAGAGAGTTCTGTAAGTAACTGAATGTTGGAACAGGTCTCTGCTCTGCGCTGTGGCCCTGGTGAAATAGAGTGAGCCATGTGAGAAGGCAGGCAGTCTGCTTTCTTATCAGGTAGTACTACTAACTCTAGTGGTATTTTCAATTCTGGGGTTGTTATCAGTCTGGAGGTTGCTGCATTGATTTTTTTGGAGGGGTAGGCTGGGGGCACTATGGTTCCATAACTGTCACCTGAGTTAAAAGGTTGGTGGGTTCAAGTCTCACTGCTTGACTTGAATACAAAAATCATGGCTGAAACTTTAATGCAGTACTTTGGGAGAGGTACACTGTCGGAGGAGCCCTCTTTCATATGCTAACCAGAGAACCAGTCTGCCCTTTTCAGATGGATGTAAATGATTCCATAGCACAACTTTTAAAAAGAGCAGGTTAGTTTTTCTGGTGACCTAACCAAACCTTATTTCTCTATCAACATAACAAAAATATTATTTGGTCAGTAACCATATTTCTGTATGTGGAGCTTGCATAGTGCTGATTTGATTGCCATCTTTTCTACATTCCAAAAATGACTGTGTATCAAAAGTACCTGTATTATGAAATTACCACTGGACCATTGACCTTGAGACATTCAAAGAACAGAAGGAGGTCATTTGCTTGATTTTATCTGTGTTGACCGACAAAGCTCTGACTACGCTAATCCCATTTTCCAGCTCTTGGCCCATAGCTTCGAAGGCTGTGGCAATGCATGTGAATATCTAGATACTGATTAAGCATTGCTGTTTCACATGGTGAGTTTCAGCCTCCTACCACCCTCTGGGTGAAAAGATTTCTACTTACCTCCTCTCTTAGCCATCTACCTCTAAACTTAGATCTATACCTCCTGATAATTGACACCTCTACTAATGAATAAAGTGTTTCCCTTCCACTTTATCTATGCTCCTTTTAACATTATAAACCTCTGTCAGGTCCCTTCGCTTCTCCAAGGAAATAACCCCATCTTATCCAATCTTTCCACATAACTCGGACCTTCCAGCCCTGGAAGCATGCTGGTATACCTCCTCCGCACCCTCTTGATTGCAGTCTCATCCTTTCTTTTATGTGGTGACCAGAATTCGACGTAGTACTCCAATTGCAACTTTTGTACAGTTCCAGTATAATATCCTTGCCCTTGTATTCTCTATTTTGGCTAATAAAGGCAAGTATCTCATGTCCGGTCTTAGCCACTTTATCACCTGCAGGAATCTGTGGATGTGCACACTACAGCCCTTCAGATCTTTGCTTTCCAGCAGCCTACCATTCATGGCGCAATCCTTTGATGGCCCTCTCTGAGTCCATTACCTCACACTTCACCAGATTGATTCCATTTGCCACTCCTGTGCCATCTTACTAGTCCATTGGTATCCTTATAGCAATTCTCCTCACTATTTACTACCCTAGAGTTTGGAAGGAGCTGTCCAAGGGTCGTCAGTGAATTTCTGCATGCATTGTCAGATAGTACAACTGCTGTGACTGAGCATTAATGGTGAAGGGAGTGGTTGCTTATGGATGTGGTGCCAGTCAAGCGGGCTGCTTTGTCCTGGATGGTGTCAAGTTTCTTGAATGTTGTTGGAGCTGCACTCATCCAGGCAAGTGCGGAGTATTCCATCACTCTCCTGACTTGTGCCTTTTAGTGGTGGACAGGCTTTGGGGAGTCAGGAAGTAAGTTATTTGCCGGTATTTCTAGGCTCTGACCTGCTCTGTGTTTATATGGCAGGTCCAGTTGAATTTCTGATCAATCCACCCCCACCCCCACCCCCATCATCCTAGAATGTCAATAGTGGGGGATTGAGTGATGGTAACACCATTGAATGTCAAGGGGCAATGATTTGATTGCCTCTCATTGGATACAGTCATTGCCTGACATTTGTGTCACACAAATGTTATTTGCCCCTCTTCCTGCACTTCCTTCAGCTGTAGAGTGACCACATTCTGAATTGTGCTAATCATGAAGCTCCCAGCTTCATGAATGCACAGTGGTGCTCCCAGCTTTGCTGCTGCTGTTATCCACCTGAGTACCCACAGGTCTACTACTGATCTGTCTGCTTCTGGAACTCTATACTCTTGCTGCTCCCTTTAACCCTTTTACTGCCACTCTTGAGTCTTACACTAGTCCTCTACCTGTGAGGTCTCACCTTGCCCGTTTCTCCCTCTATAATGCTGTGTGTCTAGGTGTCCCTACCTCACTGCCTGCTTTTGGGTTCCCTTTTACCCAATTTGTATATTACTAATGACTAACCATCTGAGGCAGACAGGTACTCCAAACATTCAAAAAAGGTCCCTCACCAACATGGTGGGCACAAGACCATTGTTGTAAATGAAAGTAAGTGACTCAGCTTCACATTAGGGCTGTGTTCTGCCACGTTTATTCCTTGATGAAAGGTAATAACGTTAACCCTAATGTGTTTTAATCAAAATCATTGATCACAGAATTGCTACTAGTATGATTGCAAGAATGCCTCAAAGACAGCTCATGTGGCACTGTTGTCGTGTCCCTATGGACTGAAAGGTCCAGTTTTGAGTCCCATCTGCCCTGGAGGTGAGTCACACCATGTTTGAACAGGATGATTTTAAAAATATTCTTCACGGCTCTGTCAGCATGACCGCTTCATATATAGCTGGTATAAGCATCTCCCAGACTAGATGATAATTGTCAGACAAGGCGACACCTAATCTAGTGGTGTTCAGGCAATTTATTCAACATCAGAAGTTATAAACAAACGAAGATCATTGATGTCCTAGTTTAAATGGTTCTTGCTTCCAGCCATGCTAGGCTCAAAGGTGGCTCATAATGCCTCTCCTCTCCCATATCATCTTGAAATCTGTGCGTTCAGCCTCTTCAGTGAGTTCTTCTACCCTCTGCAACTGGGGCCCTGCTCTATTCTGATGTTGCCATTTGGGTCTGATTTTGTCTGATTTACCAGAGACAAATATCCTGTGGTCATGACCCCTGACCCAGACAAGATATCCTCAATGTCGAAGCAGTCCTTCATTAACTGTGTCCTGTATAATCATTTGACAAACCAATGCTAATTTCTTCCAGTGACAAAGTCCGTTAATCATATTCTTTGATCACAGCTCGTAACATAATTTTAATCATTTGTCCTACTGCCCTTATATTATTTACACTTAGAATTCACATCAGGGTGACTGTGACTTGACTGAAGTCACATGGGTCATGCATCTGAAATGTAATTTTGACTTAATCTTTCATCTACTAGGAGTTCATATAAAATGCACATAAAAAGGACGCAGAGCACAAAATATAAAAAAAATTACACATTTTCCTCCAATTGATTGAGCAGAATATACTTCTGCAATCCTATTTTGTCCCTGATTTGATAACACGTGCCTATGCTTTGATTAAAAACAGATCATTGGTTCTGTCAATTAGCCTGATTACAGGACAGGATGCAACAGAGAACTTGTTATAAAATTATTCTAAATTACATAGCTCCATGGAATTTGTGTGCTACTTATAATCAGTACTAAAGTGTAAAATCAGTTCCTGTATATTTGGACAATTAACCATTAAATCTAGTATTAATTCTGAGAATGATTAATTATGGGTCCATGTGTAATAACTTTCACACTAATTTCTTTATATACTATAACTTATATTTCAACTGAAATATATTTCAAGTTCTATTTACTTGCAATTTCAGGCTCTTACAGATGTAGGTCTTATTCCAGGAGGTGACATGACACCTGAAGCTGCTTTGGCTAAATTGTCCTACGTACTAGGCAAGGCAGAACTAAGTGTTCAAGAGAAGAGGAAGGTATGTATTTCAGTCACAAATTCGTGTGTTAGTGCTGTGTGCACTTATTTTCTATAAGATTATATTTTAGTTCCATTGAGCAGTGAGGAGGATGATCAGTCATCTTTCTCTAAAGGAGTTGCACCGTATTTTTCTTGACAACAGGTCAGCCCAATATTTCATTGGCAAATATCTTTTGAAATGCCTCAATCTAGATAATCCCGAGTAGCTTCTGAACCTTGCCATCAAGCTGAACTGTGGGTCAGAAATGTGGGTCTTTCCCTGGGGTTACTAATTAATGGCCATAGGATCCAATTTTAAGGCCAAGCTCTTGAGTGTGGAGGGCCAAGCAGAAGCTTGCCAGCAGGTAAGTGAGGTAGAGGACTCTGGAGGTGCCTTTTCCAGCTATCAAAGGAAAAGATTCAGTTTGATTTTGTAATCCAAATGCATAACCTGATATTTTAAGTGAATGGAATAAGCTACTTGCTGAACAGTGTCATAGAGTCATTCAGCACGGAAACAGACACTTCGGTTCAACTCGTCCATGCTGACCAGACATTCCATCTGACCTTGTTCCATTTGGCCCATATCCCTCTAAACCCTTCCTATTCATTTACTCATTCAGATGCCTTTTAAATGTTGTAATTGTACCCACTCCACCATTTCCTCTGGCAGCTCGTTCCATACACGCACCAATGGTTAAGTTATCCATGCAACATAAGAGACTAGAAGTGGATAATCTATCATAGAATAATTCAACAGATATTTATTGCAGCACGCACTAAAATACATAAATATTACAGAGCAGTATGCTCACTACCATGTGTCATGCTTAAAGTGATCTGCATTAAGCTGGATCTTTATACCCTTAGGTCAAATGCTGTTCCACAACGATGTTATCACCAGAGTGACTTTTAAAAGTACTGACACATTGATGGTGAGGCATAACACAACACAGGTGTCAGTTAGTTCAGTTGGCTGGACATGTAGGTTTTCAATGCAGAGTAATGCAACAACACGGGTTCAATTCCTGTACCAGATAAGGTTATCATTGAAGGTCCTGCTTTCTCAACCGTGCCCCTCGCCTGCAGTGTGGTGGCCCTCAGGTTAAACCCACCACTAGTTGTATCTCTCTAATGAGACAGCAGCTGCATGGCTTTCTGTAACTGTGGGGATTTTACCTTACCTGCAACACAATACATTAGCTCTCAAGCTGTAGTCTATGGAGTTCTGCAGGTTCAGAGACTTTCCAGGAGGTCTGAGAACTAAATTACTTATGCACAATTTTCATATGAAACACATTGAAAATAAGAAAGTTTCTAGTTGAAAACTTGTTTAGTAACTATAAATTTAGGTAATTTGAATGCAATTAGCACCAACATTAACCTTCCTACCATCAGTCTCGATTATCATCACTTCTATGCATATTGATTGTTAGGAAAATCCAAATAGGGCAGAGATTCACCATCTATTAGTCCTTTGATGTGCCAATCATACAATATATTAAATGCAATTAGTGGAGTCGAACAGATTCATACTTTTAAAAATTAGGTTTAGGTTTAAACTGACGGAAACAACTTTGGAGCACATTTATCTATAATTGATTTGTAATTATTACAATCAATAATAAGGATTGATTACAGAAGTTGACACTGTTCTGTTTGGAGAGCAGGATATTTGATAGAGGTTTTCAAAATCATGAGCAGGCTGGACAGGGTAGGTAGAGATAAGCTGTTTCTCACGCATAAAAACAAAATAGGAGGGCATAGATTTAGTGATATGCAAACAAAGCAAGATGCAAAAACTTATTCATTGTGAACAATTAAGGTATGGAATGCACTGCCTGGAAAAGTAGTGAAGATAAGTTGAAATGATGCAATCAAGAGGGTATTGGATGATTATTTGGACAGAAATTGCATACAAGGGTATGAGGAAAAGGCGCGTGATTGGCGCTAAGTAATAGAACCAGTGCAAGCTGAATTGCCTACTTTTGTGCTATAACCATTCTGTGACTCTGTGAATTACTGCAAAGTATAGACTCTTACTACAAACACGTGTGAGATCCAAAAAATGTTTTTTAAAAATCCATAAAATGACTCAGTTCCTTTTTCTGATCGGTAAGACAATATCTGTTGAAGAGTGATGGTTTAAAGTATTTGTCAGTCATTCATGAGCATTATGGTCAAATAGCAGATGAAGGATAAGTGTACTCAGCAGTGAGATGCATGCTCATCTGACTGATATTTGTAAGTAAATGCTGATTTCTGTTAAAAGCATTACCATTCCTAAGTATTTTATAGTAATACAGTTTAATTGGGAGCTCTGTCATAACTAATCCATTTGAAAAGAGTGTTAGGATACTGGAACATGCTGAAGTGGTGGTAGTGTTAAGGCAGATACAATAGGAGCGTTTAAGGGACTTTTAGACAAACAAATGAATAAGTAATGAATGGAGGGACATAGATCAAAGGCGAGCAGAAGGGATTAGTTTAATTTAGCATCATGTTTGGCTCAACATTGTGGGCCAAAGGGCTCATTCCTGTGTTGTATTGTACTGTTCTATCTTCTATGTCCTTAACTGGAAAAAATCTGTGATTGACAGACTATGACTAGACATAAAGATACTGATACATGCTGAGAGCTTCCTGCATTGTGCAGAAAAGGGTACTTTTTGAAGTAGAAAGCCTATTCATGATATTTCAAGTTACTTGAAAACCTGAAGACGATCAAAGAGGTTTTGCTGAATTAAAGAAGAGGGTCAAAGGATGTTACATGGATTTTATGTTGAAAAGAGCAAATTCATTTATACTGTCCAATCATTGCCTAGCATTTAAAAGTTCATATTTCTGCTGAGCTGATACGTCATTAAAAGGGATGATTATATACATAACGCAAGCAAACTCAAGAGACAAATGCTCACCATGCCCAGATCTTCCAGTCAGTTTTGCTGCTGTGTGAATTGCCACTGCCTGCAAACATTTCTGTGATCAGACGTTTTTTGCACACTTTTAGTCCAGGCTCGCAATCCTGGTGCCAGCAGAGAGTTCAGTGTAGCTCTTCTTGCAGAAGGCCAACAAGTGCCAGACACGAGGGAAAGAGAGGTTATGCCCATTTTTAACATTAGCTGCTTTGTACACTATTAAAAGATTTTAAGTCCTGCGGTGGATGAATGAGTAGGAGGATACATGGATGGGTGAGTGGATGAGGGGGCACTTGAATAAATGAGCACTTCGGTCAGGTCAGGAGAGTCGTTGTGAGAGGATTGGGTTGTGGTGGGATGGTGGGGCTAGTAGTCAGGTTGGATGGCTGGTGCTGGGAGTGAGATTCAGGTCAGGTCGAGTCTGGAATTAATTTGGTCAGGTTGGGGGATGGTTGATGGTAGTGGGAGAGTCAGGTGGTGTCGGGTTGGGAGGGTTGTAGAGAATTTGGGTTAGGTGTAGGAGGGTAGTTGGTAGAGAATTGGCCATAAGACCATTAAACCAGTCCTCTATAGTAAAGAATTCTACAGATTTGCTACCTCTGAGGGGGGAAAAAAATCCTCATTTTGGTCTTAAATGGGTGACCCTTACTGGGAGATAATGGCCTTTGTCCTAAACTCTCACATAGAAAAATAACCTTTCCATATCTACCTTGCCAGCTTCCTAAGAATCTCATTTGTTTTAATATTGTCACCTCTCATTCTTCTAAATCCAAAGAATGTGAGCTCAACCTACTCAGCCTCCCCTCTCCATACCCAGGATCAACTCAGTGTGTTGGAATATTTGATGTGTATTTCCACACTTGGTGTAAAGGATGACCTGAATACAACAGATAGAGGAAAATGAATTGGAAGAAATGTGTGTAAAACAGGACTGGCCAAATTTTAGTCTGTGTCAACGTATGGATGGAAACTTGATTGGGCTTTGTCAAACATGTACTGCCCTACTCATCCAGTTTTTTTTTGGTTATTGTGCTTAGAGGTAACTTTGCATTTGAGTATTCATATCCATGAGGAAAATTTTCTGTTTATGTATGTGGAAATTTGCGTGTCAAACAATGTTGGCTGGAATTTGCTGGAGCAGAACATCTTGTGTCTTATGGTTGGACTTGTTCTTGCGAGATAGAGTTGAAAATATTTTAATATGCAAGTTGATGGAATTGTGAGCCAATAACAATGAGGAGTTGGCATTTGGGGCCTTGGTAAACAACAGGACTAATAGATAACTTTCACCAATGAAATTTAAGGATTGAGGAATAAGCAGAGCTTGAAAGGTGAATTAAAATGGATAAATTTAATGTCAAATCAGGTAAGAAAAGGAAGGTTGAATTAATGAAGAGAAAAAAATTTAAATGCTTAAAAATGGATAATTTTACAATCATCAACAGACAATACTTGAAGAAATGGGACCCCACACTTCTAATTATTCACTTTTCAGTCCAACATGTTTGACTAGCAGTCATTGGCAATTACTATTTCACCAAATGGATACATAGGCCATTGTTTTTCAGATTTGCTTTTCGGTAATGAGTTTAAGGAGCAAATGCACCAACTTAAAGAAATTCGTAGGTAGCTTGAGGATGAGATGCACTGTTTGTAAAGTTAGGAATGGCAGAAATTGCCAGCAATAGTGTAATTCATACTTTCAAGGGTATTACTTTCTCGCTATAAATTGCTGAACGATTTGCGCATTAATAACGAGAATCCTCATCCATGTGCTATTTTTCTCAGCAAATTTTGGTCAGATATTTTTCTCCAGTTTTAACTGTTAGTTGCATGGTATTTGCATAATTTAATGTTTTGAGTTTCCTTTTATAGTGATTGTTACAAAATTACAATTATACAAGATAAACATTCAACTAATGGGTTATATTTTGCTTTCTCCCAGATGCTGTCTGAAAACCTGAGGGGAGAAATGAGTGTAGCCCTTGGGGAGGCTAAGATCTCGCTTCGAGATAGTCGATTTATTCAAGCTATTGCCAAATCTCTCAGTGTCAGCTGTAAAGAGGTAAATTTTATAATCCTGATGTTGTAACATGCCATAGTTAAAGAACTGACCTTGTTATTTTACAATTTGAGACATGTTAAAAAAGGTTTTTAAAGATTGCACGACTCAAATAAGGAACTTAAACAATTGTGAAATAGAACTAGTTCATATGAGTATTAATATATTGTGCTGCTTTATCACATTTGCTGCTTGAAATGTGCTTTTAGTCAAAGGATATTGAATGATTTAATATTCCATAAGTTTTTCTTTTAAAACAATAGGAACTAGAGGCTGTCCGAGATGCTCTGACACCTTCGTTGGCATGTGCTGCAGCAAAGTCTGGTGATATTGATACATTGGAAGCTATACTGGATATGGTAAAAAAAAAGGAAAATAAAAGCTACAACAAAACCTGCAAAATAGAAAGCAATACACAATGCTGGAAACACTTCATAGATCAAATAGATCACAATTGGAGCATGAATCATTTATGAGAATTGTTTTGGCAAAGTTACTATTCCTAAAATGTTAACTTTTGTTTTTGCCAGAGGTACTGTTTAACCTACTGAGTGTCTCCAGCATTTTCTATGTTTTTTTTTTATGGAATAGAAACATCTCCCTAGGCAGTTTTGCAATTCCTAAATTTTCAGATTTTGCAGTTAAAGCCATCTTAATCATTTAGCATCTACAAGACTCAGAACTTTTTATAGAAAGAAACTGGCTGTATGACTCAACCAGTCAGTCATTGCTTATGTTCTACACAAGCAGTAAGCTGAACAGCATTTTTACATAGTGGTTTTCCATGTTGACATGTAGGTTTCTATCTTAAAAAAAAGTTTTAGAAATTGAGGTTAATAGTTCCGGAACTGTGTGCCATTTACAAGAGTTTTAATTCTAACCCTCCAATGTCTTTCTGGTTCAATTGCTCTTGGAAGTATGTTCTGAATCACCAATAAACTTGTAGAGTGTTGTGAGTGATACTGACACTGCAATTAAAGTCTGCAATAGAAAAAAAAAGTCAGTTATGATCAGCCAACAATTATGAAATAACAACTGATCAAAATGTACATTAATAAACAGTCTTTTATCTTATATGGCCACCCTGATTCCAGTTCAAAGAACTGTTTTTAGCATCTTGCAGTGAAAATGACTAATGTGTTTTCATTCCTGATTACTGTTTAGCGGCATTTTCTAGGAAGTACACGCTTGTAGATGTTGGGTGAAGCTGTAGTCAAGTTGTTACTGTTTAGCAGCCTTTTGATTCTTACTGTCTTGGTTCATACATAAGGGTGGTGGAGTGATGTACCAGAAAACGCTACTAGGACTGTATCATGGTGTGAGTCCTCATATCAAGAGAGGGCCACTAAGAATTTGCTCTTGTAAGGGAGTGGACATCTGACTAGAACTCCCAGTAAGGATGAATGATGTTGAAATGCCTGGTTTGATCTGAAACACTGGACTGAGAGTCCAATCTGTGGAAATGGCACAGACATTTTAGCTGGAGTTGAAGATGTGGTTCCAGTCTTACTAATGGTCAGGAAAGTATAGTTTATCCAAAACTTGAGGTAACCATGAAGAAGAAAATTCAATTTAATACATCTCACCTTTTTCTTCCACCAGTGATTTACAGTCTGTTCAATCAGGTCATCATCCCATGTTACTTCCCTCAAGGAGAAGTCTACATAAGCTCATTCTCATATTTGAAGGTGCTCCACGGAATGTTTATTTATTGTCACAGCCTCATTATTTAACTCTAGTCTATTGCTCCCTAGTCATCATTTGTTCCTGACCCAAACACGGTAGATTATATTCTACAATGAAGTTTGCACTTAAGTAATACCCATCCCTATAACATCCACTCCTCTTCCCAGCTCACTATTAATACAGTTGTTAAATGAGTCAAACAATACAAAATCAGGTTTTGTCTGGACTCTCTCAATATTTGTAATGTTACCTTAGAGCAAAGTTACTTCTGATCTCTGGTCTCACCCTAAAATAAACCACTCTAAAATAATATTTTCTTCAAGTACATAATAGATGAGTAAATACCTGAAAGATAAAGATGCTTTCTACTTGAATACAATCTAATATTAACCAGACCTTTTCCTTCATAAAATTCAATTAAAGGGTATTTTATGCTTATAATTGTTATTTTTGCAGATTGACAGCACTGAAGATTTTTTTTAGATCTGTTTCTGATCCTGTTCTTTCTTCTTCTTTCAAATGCATGCTGAGATGAAGATTGTTTTTATATGTAGGCTTATAGAGTGAGTACCAACAGACTGTCGTGCATTGAATGCATCATAGGCTCAATGCGATGCTTACCAGAGTTCTACAAATATACACTAACCTGTAGGAATTAATCAAACACAGGATTTCTGAAGAAGGGTCCCGACCCGAAATGTCAAATTTCCTGTTCCCCTGATGCTGCCTGGCCTGCAGTGCTTGTCTAGCTCCACACTTTGTTATTTCTTATTTTAGATGAAGTATGTTGGGAGGAGGCTTGTTTGAAGTGTATAAGTGCCAACTGTTTGGCGTAAATGGCCAGTTTTGGTGCTTTAGATATTATTAAGTCTTGACGAACGCCTCACTCTTCAGCTTAGGAGCAATGAGGTCTATTCACTGTTTAGCAGATTCATGTCATGTGATCAGTCGGGGAATTGAACTACAGACCTCTGGTTAATATAGCTCATTACATCATAATTGTGGATAATACATAGTTACTTTTTTTTTTCCCCTGACTATTTAGAATTATTGTTATAACATAAGATCTAAAAGAAGACACAGATTGTAAAAGGGCAATTTACTTTTACTTTTTTTCTCCCTCTCTGCTTATTTCAAAACAACATGTGTTTCAGGGTGGGAACCTGTGCAGCGAGGATTATGATGGACGAACCCCACTACATATAGCAGCTTGTGAAGGACACCTAGAGGTTGTGCAGTATCTGCTCAGCCGTGGAGCCACCGTTTATGCCAAAGATCGATATGGTGATACACCACTGAAGAATGCAGTGAGATTCAGGTATGCAAAAGTATTTTTAGAAAATGAGACAATTTACTCTATGTTGCAGCCTTTAAAATATAACTTGTGTGGTAGAAATTTATGATTAGATTTATTTCATAAGTTGTGAGAATCAAATGACCCAAGTCAACTAAAGATTTTTTGTTCCCAGTAAAAAGAGAGCACTTTGTATTGGCCTCATCACCCTTCATTCCAATGCAAACTGATCTTCCAGTGTAGATCAATACCAGTCCCCATCATGTGTAGGACCCCATCTCTGGTCTAATAGAAACCTACTGTTTAAAGTATGTTTGACCTTATAATTGCTCAGCTCAATTACCCCAGTGCTGCAGTAGGATGACCACTGTGGTGGGTTGCCTTTTGTTGTGTGTCTGTATGAAAACTCAGGATGGCAGCAATGTATGCCTGCACAGTAATGAACTGGATTTCATCATCATTCCTGAGTAGAACTGGAACCCAGAGCCTTACTGATCAGAGCAATACTTGGAAATGAACAGAAATCATATTTGGCCTCCATTTTGAATTATACAAGATGAATCAGGCCAGTATATTGTCATTCATAAGTTTTACTGTTTTTTTGCTTCAGGACTCTTTCTTCTGACTCCAAAGTTACTATCCTTGTAGAGACTGAAAGCAAAATACTGTGGTTACTGGAAATCTAAAATAAAACAAAGTGCTGGAGAAACACTGCAGGTCTGGCAGCATCTGTGGAGAGAGAAACCGAGTTAACATTTCAATTCCAATGTAACTCTTCTTCAGAACTGAATAGGGCTGGAAATCTGTGTTTTTTAGTGTTGTTGACAGAAGTGGAGGAATGAGTAGAACAGATTTTGTGGGTGCCCAGAGCAAAAAGTGGGAAAGGAGTGATAGAGATGTAGAATTGGTGTAAATGTGAGATGTAGAAAGGAGAAAATGGGTCTGCTTTGCTGAGAGAAAAGATAACGAGACATGACCAGGGCTGTTGTCAGCAAAATGGAGAACACAGGACACTGTCTGAAGTTACGTGAATTCAGTGTTGCATCTTAGAAGCTGTATATTACCAAAACAGAAAACAAGATGTTTCTCCAGCTTTCACTGAACTTCACTGGAACACTGTAGCAGGCCAAGGACAGAGATGTTAACATGTGAGCAAGGTGATGTATTGAAATGGCAGACAATTTGAAGTTCAGGGTCGCTCTTAAGCACAGAATGCAGGCATTCACAAAGCAGTCACCCAGTCTGCATTTGTCATTGTCATTGTAAACGAGATTGGATTGTGACAGTAAAGGTAGAAGACTAGGTTGAAAGAGTACAAATAAAATACTGCTTCACCTGGAAAGTATATCTGGGGCCTTGGACAGTGAGGAGGCAGGAGGTGAGAGGGCAAGTGTTACACCTTCTGTGATTGCATAGGAAGGTGCCATAGTTGGGGCTGAGGAAGTGTAAGGAGGTAACCAGGTTGTCGCGGAGGGAAGAGACCCTACAGAATGCTGACAGTGGGGGAGAAGAGATGGTAGAAAAGGTGGAGAATTAATCTTTTCAGTCATCCATATGGAATGTGGGTAACTCAGTTGGTAATGCAGTAAACCTTTTTTACACAGAGGGTGATAGGTGCCTGGAACATGCTGCCAGGAGAGGTGATAGAAACAGATATGATAAGAGCCATTTAAACAGACACATGTACAAGCAGGGAATGGAGAGATATAGACCAGGAAGGTGGGATTAGTTTAGAGTGGCATCGTGGTGGGCAGAGACACGGTGGGCCGAAAGGCCTGTTCCTGTGTTGTACTGTCCTATGTTCTGTCAGTACCGAGACTAGAGAGGTGGAAAGTGAGGACAAGAGGAACACTTGTTATTCTTGAAGGAGTGAGGGCAGAATTAGGAGAAATGAGTTGGACACTGCTTAGGCCCTGTCGACCACGCTGGATAGAATCCTTGATTGAGGAATAGAAGGGTAGAAACTAGCAGCAGGAGTTGGCCATTTTGCCCTTAAAGCCTACACTGCCATTCAGTATGGTCACGGTTGATCCTGTATCTCAGTGCCATATTCGCACTTTATCCCCTTATCCTTTGATGCCTTTGATGTCTTTACCTTCCAACGGGGTTCCTTTGGACATGTTATCAGGATGGTCTGAAAGCTCTCTGCGTCTTCCCTGAAACGAGGTCAGAACATTCCCCATTTGCCAGTACCCTCCTTTGCCAGACTGAGCTTGTTCACACTTTTAACACTTTTAGCAAGTCCTCTTTTAATATGTTTCACTTTCTCCTAGCCAGAGGTGTGGTTGTGCATGTCCTGAAATGTTGGTGCCTACTTTCCAACAAGAATGTCATTTAGAACAGCGGTGAGCTGAACCCATCAGGTGCTTGCAGTGTTTTCCTTGTCACGTTTTCCGAATGTCTAGCTTATTGGCATGTTTAGGAATTATTTAGTTTAGTCTATCCTTTCAGAAGTGTTATGGTACACCTCTGGGGTAGGTAGAACTTGAACCTGCACCTTCTGTCCCAGAGAAAGGGATTGTACACTGTGTCATGAGAGCCTGGGGGTGAGATGGCAGTCTGAATATTTATGAGGTGAGTTGTGGCGTTTGGCAAGCAATTAGTTTGCCTCTCACCACTGCCGAAAATCTCATGACACCACTGGTGACAAGCATAAATGTTGAAGTGAGATGATTTTGATATCAAGATGAGCCATGTGGAATTTGCTGTCCAATTCTGCCACACATCTCACCATAGCCCATGTCACTCGAAGCTACCCACCCACTGTCTATCCACTGTTAATACACAACCTACTGCCATTCTGTCTCAATGTAAACGTTTTACACTTCCTTCCCACTAAAACAATCGGATCTCTTTAATCTGTTAACAATCAAACAAAGTAGCCATGCTTGCATTCCAACAGACTAATGCAGGCTACACACCACCCCTTTATTTTACTTCAAATTGAAGACACAGTGTGAAAATCTTTTAAACCTGAAATGTAACAATATAACTCCCTGTTCACGTTCTATGGCAGAGACTACTGTAGTCCCTTTAGGGACCACCTGTTACACTGCTCAAACCAGCTGGAACTTGCATTTCACAAATACTGACAGGGCAAACAAATTTTGGAGCTCAGGTCAGGTGTGCAACTCAGCAAATTTGAAATAAGGCTCGAGTTCATTTCAGTTTTTGACCATGGTTGCCCAAATAAAAGGGCCCTATTAATTTAGCAATATCCCAAATTCCCATGGAAATTGACTTGACCCCCACACTCTAACTTGGTCATATAGCATCAGTTTTTGTTCCATTAGGTGACTGCAACAATTTAAAATTTTTGTACCAAAGTCTCCACGTACAGTTTTCCCACGAAAAGGAAGGTAGATTTTTAATCCCAAATTTCAGTAAATGAGGATTTATTGGCTCAGGCATTTCTGATGCATCATGTTCATAAAGGTTCTGCTATTCAGTTGTTTATAAGATGATTTGCTTCTCAATTGCTGTCTCCGAGTTACTCTTTTTCCTTCTGCAGGCGCACTGAAGTTATCAAATTATTGCGGCAAACTGGTGCCCATTTCTCAAACGACGAGATTATCGAAGTGGGAACCGATTTGTGCAGGTATAATTTCTTGTGGGTTGTGTACCTAAGTAGCCTGCTTTACCTTTGTTATTCACTGCACACAATGTCCACTGGTGCACTGGAGCCCTTTGTGACCAGTGGACACCATATGGCCCAAGGACTGTGATAGATAATGTGAATAATAATATTAAAATTATAAGTTTGCTTTTTTAAAAAATTTCTACAATACTTATGCCTCTCTGAAAAGGAGGCAATTTTGTTAGATGGTCATTTATTTGATGGCACTGGGCCCATTTATGCGGAAAATTTTGAACAAATCAATTTTAACATTGTTATCATGACTCGTTTAATGTCAGTCAATTTTTGACATCAGTACAGCTTTGGCACAAATGTTGGAAAAAAAAAGCTGGACTGTAGAATTGAGAATGACTGCCCTGGACATCAAGGCAGCATTGGACTGAGTATGGTATCAAGGAGCCCTAGCAAAACTGGTATTCATGGGAATCGGGGGAAATCTTTCTACATGTTGGGATCATAAAAAGCACAAAGGAAGATGGTATGATTATTGAAGGTCGATCACCTTAGCCCATGCACACCACTGTAGGAATTTCTCAGAGTAGTGACCTGGGCTCAAGAAACATGGACTCCCCCAAGCCGCACATAATTACAGGTTGCACCGGTGTCCCTGACAGAACTCAATTGCTCATTTCACAGAATCAGCACATGTGACTCTGTCCATGCAAAATGCTGATAAACAAAGGGAGTATTCCTGTAGCAAGAAGCTCCCACCAGGTACTTGCATGCACACAACGACTGCCACCATCCTGTCTTCTCATGGTGGCAGAACAGAATGCCAATGTATGTACTGATAATAGACAAAGGCACTGCAGGCACATCATGTTTACTTTACAAATCAGTGCAGGTGTCATGTTGCTGCTGAACCAGCTTAGATTCATGATGGAGGCAACAGGACAAAGATCGACTCTTTCAGTTATATCTTTTTACTCTTTTTGTTCTTAAACTATTCAAAATGGCGGTGGATTGTGGTGACAGTTGAAGCTCTTCACTGTATCTTACTGTGTTATTCATTGTAAGATGTAAGTGACAACAAATGGGGTAGCATGGTGATTCAGTGGTTAGCACTGCTGCCTCACAGCGCCAGGGACCCAGGTTTGATTCCAGCCTCAGGCGACTGTCGGTGTCGAGTTTGCACATTCTCCCCATGTCTGCATGGGTTTTCTCCGGGTGATTGGTTTCCTCCCACAATCCAAAGATGTGCAGGTAGGTGGATTAGCCATGCTAAATTGCCCATAGCGTCTAGGGTGGGAAATGCAGGATAGGGTGGGCGGTTGGGTCGGTGTGGACTCAATGGGCCGAATGACTATAGGGATTCTATGAGATTCTGTGAAATCATGCAAATCACAGAATCCAATGGAATCCCCTTTTGGATCATCCCAATCATGAGCAAGATGTTCTAAAACTGAAGAGATCTTCTGTTACATTTTCAGCTTATTTTTTCAATCCAGAGAACAAATGTAGATATCATAAAATGTATTACTGAGAGCAACAATCATCACAACAACAGTTGTATGCTTAATTAAAGCCACAATTGCTTTTTTCAGTTGCATCAGTGGATTTTAACTGCACTTTATTAAGCTCTCACTTTGACTTGAAGAATAAGTGCTCTACTAAGGTTGTTACTGAGCCAAACAGAACAAAAAAATCCCACATTGGATGATTTGCTGAGCTGGAATAATTTTAGAAGTTTTTCAGTCATCTTAATGACTTCAACCAGGAAGGGAAAGTCACTCAGGATTCCAACTCCTAATTACTTTCAAGCTCCCTTCCACTGGAGAGTGAGTCAGTGTCAGTGTCCTGTGAGAACAAAATTGGGTTGATTGTGATGTCAGACAATTGGTCAAGTGGCTTGTGAGCACTCGCTGTTCAGGCCAGGCTTTTATAGGAAGAGCAGCCATATAGTCAACATGCAGCAAGGTAGCAAACTTCAATTTCTGATTATGCAGGATGCAGTAGGTACAAATATTTGTCTTCACATAATTTCCTCTATCAACATTGTGTTTTGAATCATTTTCAAATTCAGAGACATTCAAAGCATTTTTGAGTATTTTCACAGGACTAGTACCCTAAAAGGGAAGTAAACTGGGTCAGGAACTCACTTTCACTTCTCCCCTATGCTGATACCATTATTACGTTCTAGAACACTAGCAGTGACAACCATTACAATGGTCTTGCTAGCATTGTAACTTTGCTAACGGTTTTTCTTTTGCAGAATTATTATCTATACTTGAATCTCATTGTTTTCCTATCGGATTGTTTGTTAACAACTGTTTTCTAATGTATAATCCCAAATGCGTTGAATTCCATTCTGAATGTCATATATTTTGTCAGAAATCGATGATAAGTTCATGCCCACGCATACAAGCTTTGAGTACCAGATTTTATTAATTGAATTTAAACTCTGTTAGCTGTCATGATGGGATTTGAGCCAACATTCCCACAGCATTAGCCTTCTGGATTCTTCAGAATCTCAGGCATCTGAATTACTAATCCAATGACATTACCAACACATCTGCATATATTTTACTCAGTGATAAACAAATTTCCAATATCATTTACTCAGATATGCATATCGGATAAATTTTTAAGTTAACCACATCAATAACATCTTCCAAGTATTAAAAAGCAACAGGCTGGGGAGGCAGATCTACTGACCTTTCAGCCCTCCATGTATGCCTGGGTAGGAGTGCAGCCAAAGACCACCCTGTAGAGAAGATTGCCTTGGTAGTGGCCTGGCTGCTTTTACTTTTTCTAATTAAATATCTTAGAAGGAGCTGAGAAGGCACATCTTTTCATCAGGGGAAGCGGTGGTGGCGTAGCAATGCCAGTAATCTCCTCCCAGTTCCCATTCACTTTAGTTTTAGTTGGGTTCCTTGATGCTACATTTGTCAAATCCTGCATTGATGCCAGGAACAGTTATTGTCGCCTCACCTGGATTAGTTATTTTATACAAGTTTGGACCAATAAGTGTTTGAAAGAAATGGTAAGATTAAGTCCATCTTGGCTGCTGATAGTGTAGCATTAACAGACAGCAATGGGACCAGACCACTTATCCATACTGTGGCAGAGAAAAGTTGCATAATAGAACAATCAGGAAACTGGATGAAAATAGATCTGAATTAGGAGATTAAAGAGAGAGGAATCTTGAGATATAATGTTAGTGTGTATGTTTTTAAAAATAAGCATATTCTAATCTAGTTTGAAAAATGTTATGAATTTTAAATAATTCTTAAATTGGATGGGCAGTTTGTTTGCCCAATTAACATAATAGACTTTTAATGTGGATCAATGCTCTAAAGGTGAATAAGTTATGAGTTGACTGAAGACAGAATATTTACAAACATGGTGCTTTTAAAACAAGATGAGCCCAACATGCTTTTAAGGATGTAATGTTTTAGTCATTATCTGTGCAGAAAAGACATTAAACAATGTTTGTTGTACACAGCCTGGCTGCAAGTGGTGACGTGGAGGGACTGACAGCTTGGCACCTTGCAGGGCTGGACTTGGACCATTGTAGCTATGATGGACAAAATCCCTTGGAAGTTGTAAGCAAATATTTTGAATTTTGGTTTTGAGAGAAACTCCGGAAAGCTCAGAAAAATCGTGTAGGCGACAGTCCTTCCGGACGAGGGTCATGTGATGCTTTGAAAAATTTAGCTGAATAGCTGGCGATTCAAAATGGCTTTTGGCACTTTTAATATAACTCATATTTTTCAGTTTTATGAATCTTTCTGCCTTTGCCTCCAGGCTTTGGCTGATGGTAATGAAGAGGTGGTTGCATTCCTTCAGTCAGCATGCAAGCAAAACAGGCTGGTAAGAGTTGCATAGATTCTGTAAATGTTTAGTGTAAGCACAACAATCCCAAATTGAACTGAAATTGTAAATTGCACCAATTGGTAGCTGTCCATTCTTGATTCATTCTGTAAACCAATAAAATGTTGTTTCTCGCCCACATCATGGGCTGAATTTTCACTCCACCTCTTGTAAAACTGCACTGTCTATGTCAGCACACCATTCCTGGCCATTATGTGAGGTGGTGAACTCAGAAAATCCATTCATCACCTCCCTAGGAGGCAAGCAGGCAATTAAACTCATTAAGAGCCTTGTTAAAAGTAGGTTTGGAGGGCAATTGCAATTTCCCAGGAACGCTCCAATTTCCCAAAGTGATGGGTGAGTGGGGAGGCAGATCTACTGACCTCTGAGGCCTCCATGTGTGCCTGGGTGGGAGTGCAGCCAAAGACCACCCTGCAGAGAAGACTGTCTTGGTAGTGGCCTGGCTGCTTTTACTTTCTCTAATTAAGTATTTTAGAAGGAGCTGAGAAGGCACATCTATATTAAGGTGCTCTCCAAATACAGTAGTTGGATGCTTCTCTGAAGCTGAAGGCCTGTTATTTGCCCTATGTCTTTGAGAGGCCACCCGTAAACGGCCTTGAGGCCCAGAACTTCCCCATGTGAAAATCTTAACTTTAATCTGTCTTTTGCTGGAGATGGGTTTCTGAGTTCAAAACAAACTTGGACCCTGTTTCTTGCCTTTGTCGAAAATTCAGTGACAGGACTATAATTGATCTGGAGGGGGTACTGATGTACAGCAGTACAAAATATGGTGGTGTTTTCAGATTCTAGATGATGTATCTTCATTCTCAAGGAATGAGGCCCTTAACAGTGGCTACATCTTCAGGGGATGAGATGGACATGTTAATGATAGGATCTTAGAATTTTACAGTACAGGAGGCCATTTGACCCATCATGTTTGTACCCACTCCTAAGAGAGCCACCCAACCACTCCCATTCTCCAACCCCATCTCTGTAGCCCTCTAACTTAATCCCTTTCGAATATATATCTAGCTCTCTTTTGAAATCTCTCATGGATTCCACCTTCATACTGTCCCAGGCTGCGCATTCCAAATCCTGAGAACTTTAAGTAAAGATGTTTCTCCTTACCTCGCTCTCATGCTGACAATCTTGAAATTGTGACCCTTTGGTTACTGACATACCAACTTGTGGAAACAGAATATTCTTCTTTACCTTGTCAAAATTGTTCATAATTTTGAACATTTCAATAAGATCACTTCGTAATCAGCTGAGCTCCAAGAAGAATAAGCCCAATTTCTTTAATCCTTCCTTGTATCTGAAATCTTTAATTCCTGGTATAATTCCAATATATCGGCTTCAAACTCTATCCAGGGCTTTAACATCCTTCCTTAAATAAGGTACCCAGAACTGAACATAATGCTCCAAATGTGGTGTGACCAATGATTTATAAAGTATAGTGTCATGTCCTTGCTTTTGTGCACAATGCTTTTTTTTATAAACCCAAATATCCTATAAGGCTTCTTATCAACTGTTTCAACTTGCCTGGCCACCCTTGGAGAATTATGCATATGAACTCTGAGGTCTGTCTCCTCCTGAACTCCCCTCAAAGTTGTACCATTGAGCCTGTATTGTCCGTCTACATTCGTTTTACCAAAATGCATTACCTGTCATTTCTCTACATTGAAATTCATTTGCCAGGTGTCTGTCCATTTGGCCAACTTGTCAATGTCCCTGTGAAGTCGATCAGCATCATCTTCACAATTCACTATTCTCCCTAGCTGAGTATTATCTGCAAATTTAGAGCTATTGCCCTCAACATCCAACTCTAAATTGTTTATGTAAATCAGAAAAAGTAGGGCCCCCAACACTGATTCAGTGTTGAACATCATGTTCAATTCATCCCCAATCTGAGAAATGCCCATCTATACCCACCCTCTGTTTCTATCTTTTATCCAACTTCTAATCCGTGCTGACAAGGGCCCATCAATCCCAAACATTTCTAATTTGCTAACCACCCTGCCATGTAGCACCCTATCAAATGCTTTCTAAAAGTCCAAATATACAATTTCTGCAGCACTACCCTCACCTACTGCCTGTGTGACCTCCTCAAATAACTCTTTTAAACTGGTCAGACATAACTTGCCCTTCTCGAAGCCAGTCTGGTGTCAACTTATATTTTCCTAAGTGTACGTTTACCTTATGGCCTCCATTAGTTCTCCCACTGCTGATATGAAGCTGATGGGTCTGAGGTTTCCTGGATCATACTTTGTACCTTTTCCTAAACAATGGTGTCACATGTGCAGTCCTCCAGTCCCCCCGGACTGTTCCTGTGCTCCGAGAATCCTGGATAAATTCCGTCATCGGCTCTGCAATTTCCTCCCTTAACTCTCTCAGCAATCTAGGATGCATCCCAACTGGGCCTGGCAACTTCTATACGTGCTGCTCGCCTTTTTAGCACTCATCTATCACTATACTGTTGAGTGGCTCAACACCCATGTTTTCAGGTAAGCCAGTGTCACCATCTTCTAATTTGGTGAAGACCAAGGCAAAATATTCATTGAGTACCTCTGCCATATCCTTTGCTTCAGTGAGCAGCTCACCCTGCTTATTCCTTATGGGCCCCACTCTATCCTTCACTAATCTTTTATTATTAATATGCTTCAATAACATTTTAGTGTTTGTTTTAGCACAGCCTCATGCTTCCTCTTTGCCTTCCTTATTCCAGTCTTAGACCCTCTCCTGCATTTGCGATGCACCTCATTTGACTGACTACACATGACCTTCAGCAGCTTGTTACTCAGTGGAGTTAGTGCCTTAATGTAGCAGGAAATTACTGGTAGGAATGAAAACTGCAAAAAAAAAAGTGCAAATATTGTGGGTCAACTGCCAAATTAATTACCAAAACATAATGAATGAATATATCTTTAAAAGATTGCCTTTTGTTTCCAATTTCTCTTCATGTTTTTGTTCTATCTTGTTGGAAGTTTGTTTTTACTTGTATCCTTTATATCCCATTTTAGTGTGCTCTGTAAGATATAGAAACATAGAAAATGGGATCAGGGGTAGGCCTTTTGGCTCACGGACCCCACTCCACTGTTCCATGGTTGTGGCTGATCCCCTATCTGGATGCTATTCTGCTGCCTTTTCCCTAGATCCCTTGATACCTTTAATGGAGGAAAATGAACTTCCAACCTGATGGATCAAAGCAATGAAGAAAAACAGAAAGTAAAGGACAACATTTTAAAAATGTTTTAATAATTATTAATCAATATTTTCTAATCAATAGCCAATCACTTACTGAAGTCGTTATCCACATTATGGTTCTAATGTGGTCTAATCTGATCATTACGGAGCAAGTGAACCGATGATGGTTGTGTTAATTAAGGGTTAATTGAATGTGGAATTGAATGTTAATTGAATGTATAAATATAGAAATTTTATGTGTAACTTTCATTGGGGTGTGAGTTTTATGGAATGTGGTTAACAGGTATAAAGGTCTTGCTAAAAGTGTGGGCTTGGAATCTGTACAGAAACATTTATCTTGTAGTGTATGTCTTGTAGAGGATGATTGAGTCAACATATAAAGATTTGGAGTTTTATTGCCCACTCCCGTTTTATGAAAGTGAGCCTTATAACCAATGGAAGAATGAAATAAACATGTGGACCAAAGAGGAAACAAGGTATGGCCCTGGCACTTCTGTTACCATCCAGAAGCAGGATAAGAAACCAAATTTTGTCAGAATTGGAGCGTGGTCATTTGACATTGAAGAAGCTTTGGACTGATTGTTAATCTGATTTAAAATTTAACAAAAAGATGATTTATTGAGGCATGATCAGACTTTGTTCTATCCTTAATCTTTCTGAATTTGTCAAAGGAACTGTAAATAATGGAATTCAGTATTTTGTGAGGAAGACTGCAGAAATTTAGTTTGGAAATAACTCCATCTATTCTGGCCTTAAAGTTATTGGACTGTGCCAAAGTACTAATTATGGACAGATTTTAGTTTTGACGCAAGTTAAATTTGCAGACAAATAGACATTGCTAGAACACACGTCGGAAGCACTACAAAAGATATCTGGGAAAACATACCTTTCTAGCACTGTTCATTGCACAAGTGGGGCCTCAGTGATACAAAAGAAAATGAAGTCACAACTTTAACAAATTGATGAGACCATCTAGATAGAAGTGACAGGTGACAGAACAAAAGTAGAATTGTAACTGAGAGAAATAAAGCCAAATACTATTTGTAATTTTGAGAAGCAAAAGGATTTGGGATTTATAATAAAACAATGAACCCCAGGAATGCTCAGGGTGCAGTCAGTTGATGTCTTGGGACCAATTTAGAGTACCATTATGCCATGAACTATCCCAAACGATATAATAAATTATTCAAAACCAAACATAAAATGGAAGATTCAGAGGAAGAAGATGGAGATGCAGATCAGAAAGAGGCCATTATATTAGTCACACGAAGAATGTGTTGGTGGGAGAGTCTTTCAGTTGTGCACTATTAGACAGTGGATGCACATCTACAGTATGTGGTAAAGGTAAAGTAACCATAGTCCTGGAGGACCGTAGGATTGCTCTGTCATTAGAGAGAGATGAATGGTGGTTTTTATTTTCAAATTCATTCATGGGATGAGGGTGTCGCTGGCTAGGCAGCATTTATTGTCCATCCCTAATTGCCCAGAGTCGACCACATTGCTGTGGGTCTGGAGTCACATGTAGGCCAGACCAGATAAGGATGGCAGTTTCCTTCCCTAAAGGACATTAGTGAACCAGATGGGTTTTTCCAACAATCGATATTGGATTCATGGTCATCATTAGATTCTTAATTCCAGATATTTATTGAATTCAAATTCCACCATCTGCCATGGTGGGATTCAAACCCAGGACCCCAGAACATTATCTCTGGGTCTCTTGATTAACAGTCCAGCGATAATGCCACTAGGCCATCACCTTTAACTTGAGAATCATCATGCCTCAGGGGAAGCAGTGAGGTTGAAGTGGAACTTTCATGGTAACCTTAGCCGGTACGGGAATTGAACGCATGCTGATGGCATTATTCTGCCTCACAAACCACCCATCCAGCCAACTGAGCTAGTGCCATGTGGATATAAAGAAAAACAGGAGGATGAAGATATAAGAGTATATTGACTGATGGCATTTTTGAAAGTTTTCTTGTCTTTGATGGCTACAAATGATTAGGCATGTGGATCAAATGATACTTGAGTTGCATTTCTTCAGGGAGATCAGCTCAAGGGAAAAGGCTTTCTTCTATCTCAAAAGAGGCACCAAACACAGTGGGAACACTTTGAAAGTTAAATGTGCTTATTGCCTAATTGATGCCTCTAGAGTTTGATACTTCTCAGTAAGGTCATCGTTATTAAAATTTGGCTATCTTCAGGTGAAAGCATGTTTTACTGGCGTCGTGACGGGCAGTTTTCAGGCGTCTTTATGATATGCACATGATTTTTTTTGGGAGCAACAAATTTGAAAATAATGTTTTAAATGCGCTTTAAACAGAATTCAACACTGGAAGTCAAGCTTCAGGGGATTTTAAGTGCATTATATTGGAAATTGGGCCGAATGAATCATTGCCACTTTGCATCAGCAGTCCTACGTGGAAAAGATTATCTTCATTGCTATTAATTGAAGTGGGGCTTCAAAAAGATGCAGCACCTTTTAAACTGAAATGGGGGAACTGCAAATTTTACTTGGACAGCTGAATTGGTTTGGCACCCAAACAAGGCCAATTTTGAAATTATTAGAGCTGATTACAACTGTGAAAAATCCCAAGGTAAAAAATATTATTTGGATGAATAAAAGATTGAAAAATTTCAAAGTAGAGCATTGTGTATTGAAATTTCCAGCATTTGGAGGTGAGAGGAATATGAAACTTGTGGTTCTTGGTGATGCTTCTTTTGCAGATATTGGTGATGGGTTTTTAAGTGTAGGAGAGTTTGTAATTTTTCTTGTGGTAAAGGAAAGTAAACATCGTAATTTAGCCTTTGAAGCTGAAAAGATTAGAAAAGTGGTAAAAAGTACCTTAGTGGTAGAATACCCACTGTTTCTGAGACAGTCGGTATGGCATTTTTCTTAGGGAAATGTCAGAAGAAAGTCTAAAGTGGTATTCAGCAGCAACATATTGCTACGTTGATAAGTTACTATGGGATCACATGCACTCACTGAGATGTGTGAATTGAAAAGGACTGATCATTGATTTTACAGTTTTAAAATAGATTCTGGAGAATAGAGAAATCTCCAAACTGAAATGGTGGATACCTGCAATCAAGTATCTGACTGTTTTACAAAGAAAGGAACCAGCTCAAGAAACTATCGGACATAGTGGAAAAATGACCCTCGGAACTTTATTGTGCAAAGAGAAACAAATAGAGTATAATACGTTATCATTTGTATATTTTGTTTTTTTGTATTGTTTATATTGATTTACTTCAAAAGAAAAAAGGGAATCTGTTATTATCTAAAATCATCTGAGAGAATACCTGTGGCTTACTGGAATGAGAGAATATGATGGAAATATCAACGAATTGTTAATTGGGTCTAAATTGATTCTATAAATATGGAGAGCTAGTACTCAATTAGGTGTGAGTTTTATACAATGTGGTTAACTGAAATAAAGCTATCAGTAGCAGTATGGCTTTGCACTTTGTTCAGAAAACATTTATCTTCTAGTGTATAACACAATTTTCTTTTCATCAATCTACGTTGACCTTGTGTAATCCCATTGGTATGTCTTTACTAAGTTGCTTCTTTGTATCTTGACTTGGTGTTTATAATTCAATCCAGTAATGTGCATACTAATTTGAAGTATATCATTCGTTTTGGCAGATCTCCAAGTTTTTGAGGTTGTAATATAAAACTCCATAATTTGTGAATTTCTTTTGCAAAAATAAATTTGCTAAATATTTAGTAAGGACTTCGCACAATTTAGACTTCAAATCTGGGAGCCTGGTTTAGGACAATTCTCTCACCTTTATGGCCTAGAAGTTATTTCATTAAGTAATGAATGTATTTTTGCCAATGACAGTTTAAAATCTTTAAGGAAGTTTTACTTTCTGTAGAAAACTTAATTCATTGCGCTAAACTTTATAGAATGCATATTACTTAAGTTATGACTAACATTTTCTTAAATCATCTGATAAATCTGTGCTAATATAATACTAGTGCATTTATAACTCTGAGCATATTAAACTGTGCATTAGCTTAAGAGTATATAAAATAACTGTCTATTATGAAAACGGTTTACAAGAGAAGTATTCTTTTGAAGGCCGCGATGTAATTGCTATCAATTGCTATCAAAGCTAAACAGAGTTATCTTAGCCCAAGGGATGTGTACTTTGTAAAATGTAAATATGAGTGTTACTTGCCTGTAATCTGATGAATCACCTTGATCAATGATGCCTCATTGATATTGTTCATTTTCTATTCAGTTAAGTTGCAGTATCTTTCATGCCATTCCAGGAGCTACCATTTCTCACTGAAAAACAGCACATTTTGTATTTTTGGTATTTGGGACTGTATGTTCTGCATGACAGTTCAAACCTGATGAGCATAATATTTTTCAGATCCGGAATATGACCCAACCTTGTTGAGGAATGGCTTAAGAGTGCCCACCAACAAATTTTCATAGTGTTGGGACAGCTCTGTACATGGCAACTAACAAGTCGGATTACAGCAATTGCCTGATTCTGAGTCCAGCTTTTACAATTGCATATGTGTTTGAGGGGAAGAACTGTAGTTAAGTTATAAAAGTACTTTATAATTCAAACCTACGTCAAAGAGATAAGCAAACCATAAGTAGTTGAGGGGAACATATGGGAAAATTCTTGAATTGGAAAGAGCGATGTGTATTTTTTCATGTTAAGTTTGGGTTTCAAGCAAATTAATCTTTTCGCTCAAGTTAGGAAAGATTTAACTTGACTCTTAGTTGTAGTAATGTTATAGTTTATTTATTATGAGTAAGACTTGATACATTAGTTTACATGTTATAAACATGAGTTATATCTCATTATGGCCTGTGTAAAAGGTTGTATTTTTTACAATCTACTCCCATTGAAATGTACCCCAGTCACTTTCATCCAGTTGGCATGACACATGTGATAGACCTTTGTCAATCTGTCCCTTCCTTGTCATTGTCTACTGCAAAGCAAATCCTACGGAGAACTGTTTAACCTAATTATGGACTTGCACCCTTACTTAACCATTGAATTACAAAGATGCTACATATTCATCTTTGCCCACCTAGTCCTTGCCAGTCTCCCATGATTCCTGATTTTTTATTTTAAACATGCCTGCTATTAGTACATTAACGTTTCAGTGCCGTTGAATGGTCAAAGCAAGGAAAATATGATGTTCTTGATACCCAGCTATCTTCTTTAGGATTGAAGACACCTGCTTTCTTCAGTGTCTGCCTAAGGCACTGACACTCCTAAGGAGCAATTTGTGTACTGCCTACTCCTCACATGCCTGCACTTTCCTCCTGTTCAGATATTTAGAAAATGCAGCAACTTTACAGAACAGAAAGAGGCTACTCCGCCTATCATTTCTGGACATGAGAAAGGAAACATCCATCGTAACCCTATTTTCTAGCACTTCGTTTGTATTCTAAATGGTCACTGCATTAGAAGTCCATATCTAGGCATCCTTTTAAATAAGTTCAGGGCTTTTGCCTCTATTACCCTTTTAGGCAGAGAGTTCCAGACTCTTGCTAAAATATGTTTTCCTTCATCTTCCCTCTAGCCCTCTGCCAATCACCTTAATTTGGTTTTCCCTAGTCACTGACACTTTTGCTAAGGGAATAAGTCCTTTCTGTCCGTTCTATCCTAACTCCTCAGAACCTCGTAGACCACTTCTCGAGGAAAATAACTCCAGCCTATTCAATCTTTCGTCGTAGGTGCAGTTTTCTAGAGCTGGCAACAAATTCATGATTCTACTTTGTGGCCCCTCTCCTGCAATTACACCCTTTCAGAACTGTTGCAGTATTCAAGTTATGGCCCAACTAGTATTTTATACAGCTCCGGCATAACCACACTGCCCTTGCATTCTTGCTAACGGGCTCATACTTTAACATCAGTTACGCGTTAGTTCCAAAATCTCACTGAAAAGTTAATCCAGTCTGTCAGTGTTATTTGATGTCAGGAATTGCCTTTCCTTGAAAGATTTTGAGAGAAAGTCTGTATTGATGTTTGGTAACTTAAAAGCATCCCCTGACCCCATCTAATTATTATTAATGATCATGAATGAAATATTGCAGTATATCTTGTAACTCATGCCAACCTTAATTAGAATGTCTAGAATTCTGATCATACAGAAGATGAAAATACTACTTGGCCCAGCAGAGGCTTAGATCACTGCCCTTGATTAATTCAGGTTTTTCACTGCACAAACTTGATTGCAATATCTAAATGCTAGTAAATGAGGGAGTGATGATTTTCATGTTCGGTTTTAGCCTTCTACAATATTAATGAATGTGGTAAGTGATTTGGAGTGGTGTTGAAGTATAAATCCCTTGTCCCAAGTTAAGTTAAAGTAAAAAAGAAGCTGGTTTTGTGTAAATTTTTGCAACTGAAGATTTGCAGCAGCCTTGTTTTATTGAACTGTTGTGACCTCAAGGACTTGACATTGAATTTGTTTCTATTTTACAGCTTTAGGTGTCCACCATCAAGAAATTTAACAGATTTACGTCCGGGCACAATCAAAAGCCAGTAATATCATTGTCTTACAGGATCATCTCTTTTATTTCATAGTGCTGTATGTTACACAAATCAGTTTTAATGTAGCAGCCATTATATTTGAATAGTTTTCATGTTATCAAAATCAAGCAGTTTGGATCAGTGACACTGAATGGTCTGCATTAGAAAGTAGAGATTCTACTTGAAGTCATAACCCAGTGAATGTTCCATATCATGTGAAGTTTGTATGTGGAAGGTGCAAGTCGATTCACTATGTAAGTAGTTGTAATAGCAGTACCATTGCACTTGTCACCTTTTGCCCGCATTTGGGCAAGAACATGTGAAATAGTAGTCGCTACACTTTGAATAAAAATGGAATATTTCTTTCTACTGTGTGATTTACCGCATGGGGATGTTTTTCTTCACAATCTCAGTTATTATAAAGCAATAGAAAATAAAATGCACTGTGCATTATCTGTTTAGTTGACCATATTGTGCTGTGACTTATTTTACCATAACTGGAAAAATCTGACCACAATGAGTGAAGTGAACCTGTACAAGTGTTGCTCTTTGCTTTGTTTAGAAATGTCCCCTTGGATTTGTGGCCATCTGATGGCAGAGGTGGTAAGGAAGCTGACATATATTAGGAATATGAAATTCATTGTATTTTTAATGTTGCTAAGGACTACTCAAAGGTCTCAATTACCTACACTGGTGGGTAGACTACCTACTGATGCCACCCCTGAAGCTGGTATAATTGATGTGAGTATGGTGACAGGTGGTAGGTACTGGGTCATTCGCTCAGTTCTCCATCAAACCTGCAAGGTGTCACATCTCGTTGGGGTGGTGTGCTGGAAATCCAGCCCTATTATTCCACAAATGTGAGAACATTTAGTTAAACTATCCAAAGTCTCCAACCCACCTGAAGATTGACAAACTCAAGTTAGAAGAAAATACTCACTGTCTCTAAGAAGAAAATAACTTTTATTACAAACAAATTGTCTTTAGCCAATGGCAATCAGGACATAAGAATTGCTGTAACAACTATATAACATGTACACTCTCCCTTCTTAAATTCCCCTCCACAAACAAACAGAGACACAGACAGACCAGGCATGGATGTTTGTGGAAGATGACTAAACCTAGTAGATTAATTTGGAGAATCTCTGTTCGTAACTTATAGAAATCTACCCTTTGCCCTAATTCTTTTGGGTATTTGTGGTTTTGAGAGTCTGATAGTATCTCTTTAAATCTCCCTGTATTTGCAGATGGCATATGGTTCACTTCAGTTGATTGAAATCCAAACCACTGATTAGATCCTGGAAATCTTTTAGGATAAAGTTAGAACCTTAATCACATCGTATTTCAATTGTTGGCCATAACAAGTAAAAAAGCAAGTTCATTTTTGCACTAGTAGCTTAGCTGTAACTCCTTAATAGCTTTTGAATGTGGGTTCTCATATCGATAATGTTAGAGTACACTGATGTCTTGCTTTCATTTTGGGTAATGGTCTTATACAACCAACTAACAGTCGACTGAATGGTCCTGCAAAAATTGATATGGGTATTAAAATTGCTGGGCTTAATTATGTGTTGAGGTTTGCCAACTGAAATGTATGACATGTTTTATAAAATTACACGCTTTCTTATGAAATTTGGGCCACCTAAAATGTCTGCTTATTGACGCTAGAGTTTCCATGTTCATGCACATCTTGCCACAGAAATTTCATATGCTCCTTACAATAGGGGAGTGATATCACTACCTGATGAATAACCGTTCATTCTTCATCCACAGATCTGTGAAGGTGTCTCCATTTCCTCATCAGAACTCTTTGCTTAATAGATTAGCACACCGGAACTCCTTCAGCCTCAGCTTCATTGTAAGCTCTGAGTGTCAACAAGTTTAAGCTAGGATATGCTTTCCGAGCATCAGTTAACACAAACGTGCCAGATATTTCCATTGAATCACTGCAGTGTGGAGGCAGGCTATTCAGCCCATCAAGTCCACACTGACACTCAGAAGAGCATCCCACCCAGACCTAACCCCTACCCCATCCCTGTAACCACACAATTACTGTGAGGTAATGTTCAGCACTGCTTGCTAATTATCTTGTTAACAGTCCAATGCATCATGAGTTATGATCTTATGAAACTTGCCACACAAACCAGGCATTGGGAAAACTTGATGTGGAAACCAAAGCAAATTTTTGGCAAGTTTAACTTGCCATTTCCTGCAAATGACCTCCACTTGTCCAAACTGCAAAGCAAGGCATGATCCACCAGCACCAGCTGCACATACCCTTCCACCAGGGATATTGACACTCCACTTTAAGTGAGTTATCACCAACATCCTGGCATCCTCAAATGCACCAGCACTGCACACTGTGATGGTAGACTGCACAGCAGTCCTCCTGCACCCTGTCATACATCAGTGTGCCACATCACTCTAGGCCTGTACTAGGTGTCCTCAGCATTTACGCGAACATGCCAACTGCAGCAAGCAGTGTAATGTTTCACAAAGTCTTAGGGAAGTAGTCCGCAGTGATGTCCATGGGACACCCATCAGTCAGGTTCATCAAAGGCAGCTTCATGACCTGTCCTAGGCCAATGTCAGACATCTGCACACAGGGGCAGTGTGCCCCAGGATGTGGCCTTTGTCTCCACAGGGTTCAGTGTAGGGAGTAGGTGTGTTGCCATCAGGGAAATGTTTGTCCACCAGCCAATGATCTGGGTAGGTGACAGCCATTGCTGACAGGTCACTAGAGAGGATGGGCTCCAATCATCCCATTGTCTCCATTTTCAGAAATTAATAGGAAGGGCAGGGCTAGGGGAGATGTTCGGCATGTAAACAGTTATAGATGTATGTGCACTGTATGGGTGATGACATGGCAAAGTGTGAAGTCTATGGGGTTGCCAGAATAGGCAGTTAGAAATGAAGTGGTGATATCGGTGCTGTCAATGATGTGTTAACACAGACTGAAAGCCACTGGCAGCAGACCACTGCTGTCGTTACAATCATGTTGAGAATATTGAGAAAGACGACTGTGAATGTACTCACAATTGGCAGGTAAGTGAGTCAACATGAAGGAGAGGTCTGCATCTGAAGCCAATCTCCGGGAATAAGATTGGTCTACAACATATGGCATGCAGGGCCCCTGGCCTTCCTGCAGCATTGACTATCTCTTTGTGGTGCACCTCCATGTCTCTGTTGGATTCCCTCAGGTATACGCTTGTGTGCACACAGCCAGTGTGAAAACAGATAATGTTGAAGGGGAGGGGAGGCTAGGATGTCAGTGAGCTACTCCTGTTTGCACATGGAATTTGCAATTGGCCCTCATCAATCATTATGCATTTTTAATGGCCAAAGACTGGAGCTACAAGGTTCACCTAAGCAAAGATGCATGCATCAACAGTGAAAGGCAATGGTTAAAGAAATAAACAGACGACTTACATAACATTGTTAGTAGTTGCCTCATGTGCCCTTAGTCTGATTTCCTCTTCCTCTCCTTCCCGCTGCAATGCATAGATTTACCTTGCTGAGCAGATGGGGCGGAGCAAGTGCATTGGCCCTGGGGAATTGAAAGATGAGGCAGGTTGACCCTTCTTGGCTGGAACTTCCAACAGAGAGCAGCAAACAGAGTGCTGGTGGAAGATCCAGCCACCTTTGCAGCCTCCCAGGTGGAAACTGTCAAGTGATCTGTTTGTGGCTTGGCTGGATATTTCCTAAAACTGCCCTATCTTTTTATGAGAAGGAGACTACCCAGACTAGGTAGCCTAAACTATCCATCCCAATCTTGCTCTTTCTTCGGTCCTGTGTGCCAATTGTGGAGTGATGGCATGCACCCCTGATGGTGCTGGACTTGTCTCTCCATTGCAGCCACCAACATGTCCATGGATGCAGACAGGCAGCTGGAGAACTAGCTGCAATGCTGCCAAACATTCGGACTCTCCAGCCTACCCCAGTATTCAACAGGATCATGGCTGATCTGCCACAGGCTTCAACGTCTCTTTTATACCAGCTCATCATAGCCAGCAACCCCCAGAAATTTCAAGTATCTATATCTCTTCCAAATATCTTTAGTGATTCCACCCTCCAAGCTCTCTAGGGTAAAAAATCCAGGCATACGCTATCCTCTGGGAGAAGAAATTCCTTTGCATCTCAGCATGAAATGGAAGTCCCCTTATTTTGGAACTATGCCCCCTAGCTCAAGACCCTTCTCTAGTGGAGGCATCTTCTTATCATCTACCCTGTCAAGTCCCCTCAGAATCTTGTATCTTCTACTCCTCATTCTTCTAAACTCTAATGAATAAAGGTCCAACCTGTTTAGTTGTACTTGGTAAGTGAACCGTTTCATCCCAACAATAAGTCTAGTAAATCTCTTTTGAACAGCCTTCAATGCAGCCTTCCCAGTGCAATCACAGCAACATCCTGTACAGCTCCAACACCTTAGCAATAAAAGCTAAAATTCCATATGCCATCCTAATTACTTGCTGCACTTGCATGCTAACCTTTTATGTTTCATATGCAAGAACACACAAATTCGCCTCTGTTGTAAGAGATAGTAGGAACTGCCGATGCTAGAGTCTGAGATAACAGGGTGTAGAGCTGGATGAACACAGCAGGCCAAGCAGCATCAGAGGATCATTTTCTGAAGAAGGGTCCAGATGCAAAACGTCAGTTTTCCTGCTCCTCTGATGCTGCCTGGCCTGCTGTGTTCATCCAGCTCTACACTTTGTTATCACTGATTTATTACTGTTCACTCGTATTTATTACTGTAATAAATAGTCATTTTTATTAAGTACTGAAATTTGGTCCATGCTTTCTGGCAACCTTGGTCTAAAAGATGGTAAATTGTGTAATTTATGTACTTTGAAAAAAATATTTAATTCTTGTGACAACTCTGGAAATAGCAGGCTTGACTTTTAGCATGCTGCCTCAGTGAGGCATAATGCATTGGCAATTAGGAAATATGAATTGCTACAATTTCTTTATAATTTATACCCTGTCCTTAAATCCCACACCATTCCCTCTTCAAAAATACAAAGATAGATAAGGGATTGATAATAAGTGTGGAAAAGGGAAGAAGATCAGGAAACCACACCATCTGATGATATCATTATGTAAACAGCTCAACAAGGGAACGTTTTTGGATTAGTAATGGGGAATGAACTACATAAGCTGAGAGAACTAAAGGTAAAGGAAAATCCTGACAGTAATTTAGCGACCATAATGTAGCACACTTTATTAAGATAATGGAGAGGACATAAATATTATGAAAAACAAAGTAGTAGATCCGAGAACATCTGATTTTGAGGGGCTAAGAATAGAATTTCGGGAAATAAAATGGGTGATTGTATTGGTAAACAATGATGTATATTGATAGAGGGAAACTTTTGAAATTGTCTTGAACAGAGTGCAGAAAAATGTATTCCACAAAAGGGAAAGAATAAACTAAACCTGTGTGGTTCCATGGATGCAAGCATTAAGT